CAGGTCTTGGTGGGTGTTGTTGGTCTGCAGTGGTTAGTACCTACCAACAGTGTCTAAGGAAGGACAAATGGTGAACTGGTGACAGGGTCATGGACGCCCACGGCTCACTGATGATGAGGTTGATCTACTGTAGATTAAACTTTTAACTTCCATTTGTACTTTTCAAAAGAATAAAATGTATTTGAACCTTTGTTAAAACGGTTGAAAATGAGAAATACTGTGCACTGGTCCCTATGAAGAGAAAGAGTCAGTGGGGCTATAGTGATGATATCACACCGGGAGGGAGTGTGGTCCAAAAAAAAAAAAAGTATCTAACTAGTCCACAGTTTTCTTTCCTTTTACATCAGTTTCTCACTGAATGGTTGACACATCCCTGCTCCTCCTGACACTGTAACTATGGAAGAAAACAGATCCACAGAAGATGCACAGTGAGCTGCAGAGTGACACAAACGCCAACCAACTGCTGCGCTGACCCCTGTGTACACAGTATTAGCCAGGTGGTTATAATGTTATGGCTGAAGTGAAGACAGCAGTCTGTTTGTAACAATCACAATAATCTGTTTATTTATCACCACTTCTAAGCTGCACCAATATTTTTTACCTCTGCCTGTTTATGCTGGCATTTTTTGTTGCCGTTTTGTTTGTTAACAGTATAAACTCAAAATGTAATGAATGGATTTGGATGAAATTTATTTTGGAGAGGTAGAATATGACCCACTGAACAATCCAGTAGATTTAGGTGCTGATCCCAATCATCATTGTGATCCAGGAATATTTTTAAAGGCTCCTTCACCTTTGTGAGATAGAGCTAATTTCAGTATTTTTGGATCTAAATGTACATAATGCTTAGGCAAAAGCTGCACAGGAACATCCACAAAAGACATACCACCCACCCTGTAATATTCTAGTTATGCTGATACAGAATGTTTGAATTTATAGGGTGCAAGGAAAACTTGCTACTGTGAGACAACAAATCATGCTACAGACCTGCAACTGAGATCGAATTCTGCCCGAAACCCTGCTGAGCTTTTTTGTAAATGAAATTCAAAACAATACCTTTTAAGGCCTCCTCTCTGCTATTAGCAATCTAGCTTTGAGTTTAGCATGTTATTATTAGATCTATGAACTGCTCCAGTTAATCAGCATCTTCCTCTAAACCGGAATTCCGATTTTGCTAATTTTTTTTTTTTTACATTTTGTGAGCGCATTACATTTGTAATTGACTGAATGAATTTTATGTCTAAATAGTTCCGTGGTAGGTTTTTACACAGCTTGAACCATCACAAAGACATTATGGATTACATGTGGTCCCAGTGTTGGAGTGGACAGTGTCACTACCCACCAGAAAACACTTAAGTAACAGAAGCACTGCAAGGCAAAAACCACATGACTCCCACAGAGTGTTTCTGCACAGCATGCTCATGCAGCAATGTAGAGTAGAGTTAGAGAAGCTCCAGCACAAGGACACACACCAAATACACACAACTTCAGCGATGCCCAGGGACCTCATTACTGACCTGAGGGTGATAGATGTAGGAGGAGCGTGGGCTACGAATAAAATCCATAATAAAGGCAGCGTCCTGTCAGCATACAGGAAGAACATAACCCAGGATCCAAAATCCAAAGCCCAGCGACAGGAACAGAAAACACAACAGAGGCATAGAGAAAAAAGCAGATGAAAGGAGAGATACAAGAGCAAAAGCCCCACACTGAAGCACCAGCAAATCATTTTGGTGAAGTATTTGTTGCTGGTAAAAATAAATTCAGATGAGGCTGCAAAAGCTAAATGCCTAAAGCAGAACGACTTCTTCTGATCCACACAAAGAAAAGGCACTGACCTTGCGGGGACTGTCTACATATGTGAAAGCTGTGGTAACACTGGAGAGGTCACTGAGAGCTGCTGAGGGCTTTGTCTGCTGCTGGTGCTCTTCCAGCGTCCTGACAGGAAGCATTAAAAAAGCAGCAAAGACTGACATTTATTGCTCAAATGCAACCAGCATGTTGGCTTGCAGGCCCAGGGGACACTCACCTCTGATTCTGGTCCATCTCCAGCAGGGCTGACAAAGCCGATGTGCCTTTCTTGCCTTGAGGGGGTGGCACGGGTTCGGTAGGATATGGAGGGAGAGGACTCGTAACCTGCAGTCCTTTCATTTGTGTGCCCTTCTGCTATGTGAAAAGTGGGAACAACACTTTTAGCATCTAAAGATAGAATAATACATGTAAATATTAAGAGAGCAACAGCTTCCCCACATTGAATGTTATAGGTGGTCAAGTTAGAGCTAATGTTAATTATTTTATTTTCGGTTGGGTAGTTAAATTGACTGCATCATGGTTCACGCAATTACCATGCTCTTCATAAGTAACTAAAAAGTAGTGGAGTACAAGTATAAAGTAACAAAAATGGAAGTGCTATGCAAAATATTATATGATCAGTATGAACTCAGTTGGTGTCCACCTCAATTCAAAACAACGGAACTGACAACTGTCAAATGGAAATGTATTACATTTGAAAAATTAGTAACTATAACCCTCCTGTCAGGTGCATAAAGTCTTAACAAAGGCTGCCTGAAGTCACTTAAAAATGGGCCATGTAAATCCAAACATTGAGTGGACAGCAACTATAAAGGTCTTTTCATTCAGTATTTCATGTACAAACAGGATGTAAAGTGGGAGAGCCTTACTCTGATGATCCTGTCAGAGCGATGGCGTCGTCGAATGCGGTTGAGACCTTCCAGGAAGCGGATGAAGCCATCTAGCAGTACCCAGTCCCCGCTGCCACCCATCCCAGCACCCGCTCCCTCCCCATAAACATCCCAGTGACCCTCTCCATCCGCCACCCGCCGGGCCCCCCCAGCTGGCAGCAGAAGGAAGCGAGTTCTCCAGAACTTCAGAGAGTCAATTAAACTGGGAAGGCAGAGGAAAGGAAGGCTATGAGATGAGATTTGGATGCTTATTCATTTCTAAGATTTATTTAAAAATTAAGCAAGAAGTAATTACAACAATTATATTCAAATTATAAAGAAGCATAAATTCAGAGCCTTGTTAGTTGCCCATCAGGTCAATATGAGTAAATTTATGCTATATACTGTAACTAGGGCCAAACTGATTCAAGTTTTGTAAAAGTCCTCAGTTTATTTTACAGATATATATAATGCACAGCATCCTCTAATTTGTGATCAGTTCTTTGGTGGATGTCAAAATGTGAAACCAGACTTATTTCCTTTAACTGAAACCATTTACAAATTAAACAAGTGCACAGAGTACTTTTGACATTTGTTTCATTTGTATTTTGTGGCATTCATGTGGACGGCAAAGTAAGAATTTCATTGTACAGGGAAAACATGTTTCCTAACTGTGCATATGACAAATAAACACTTTGAGCTTTGACCTTGACGAGCTCCTGTGTAAATGTATGCTGAGTGCGTGTGAGAGTGTGGGAGAATACCTGAAGTCCTCTGAGCCAGCAGAGCAGATGTACTGATCCAGGTAGTTCCACTTATATTCTTCTAGTCTTTCATGGCCAAATTCCACCCAGCAGGACACAAACTGAGCATCAGAGTGAGGAGGACACAGGCTGTAACTGTACTGGATCTGAGCTGACTCATACGGGTACCTGAACCACACACACACACACACACACACACACACATACATACATTACCAAATGGGAATTCCTTAGTTTTTCCTTGGTTTTATCTTGGTGGGAGAACACAGCTCTGAAAAGTTTGACTCAGGACTCAGCATAACTGACACTGGTCCTCATGTTCATGTAAGTTGAGGAAGATACTTCTGCCCTTAAACATCCAGTAGACTGTTCAACCCTGTGATTTGAGCAACTCTGGCCACATTACAAAAGCATCTTTACCTATGTTTAATAAGTCCTTCCCCACTGACTTCAGTCTGTCTCTAACCAATGTAGACTTAACAATTAGCTTACAAAATCAATGCTTTCTGTCCCTTCATTAAGAATAGTTCAGTGAATTCACTGTTTTAATGTAAAGCTATGTTTTTATTATATTTGACAGCAAACACACTTTTTTGGCAGTGTTTACAGCATGAGTTGTCACACTGAAGGGAAGGCACAGGGGCAGCAAATAATTCCTGCACCTACAGCGGTGAGAAAATGTTGGCAAACCATTTGGAATTACCTGTTCCAAATGTGTTCATCTGTTCATCCAGTCGGGAGGTTACATATAGCATGAATGCAGACTTATGTTTGTGTAAGACGTTGCCTGGTGCACTCACTTTGGCAGGTAACGAGTAACGGTGATTATCTTGTCTTTCAGACACACTTTATGAAATGTCCGGCCCATACTGAGCCAGTAAATTGTCTCCTCCTCCTCTGCCCGGCGCAGAGACACCAAACCTGAAAACACAAAAAAAGAGGACACATACGATAACCATGGATTTGTTGATGTTTACAGCTGCAGTCAAAATTATTCAACTTCCATTGCTAATTAGGTGTATTGGCAAAATGTATAAACTTTCTGCTGTTTGCAATGAACAAATCAAACAAGAACAACTGTATGTTTCTACAACTGTATCTTAAGAAACAGAAATATACAGTATTTTCTCAAATGCTGAAACCAGAGAATGTAAACTGGCTTTTCCCTTCCAGTCACCACAAATATTCCTGTAAATTGAATACTGTTTTAAAAAAAAAAATCTAATGTCTTGAATGTAAAATCTTAATCTGTTTAGTAACTACAGCTGTACACACAAATAATATAAACTAATGTATGTAGTGGAGTAAAAAGGCTAATATTTGCCTCTGAAAATGTAATAAAGAAGTATAAAGTGGAAATTCTTAAGTAAAATACCTCAAAATCATACTTGATGATAGTATGGGTAATTATACGTTGTTAATTTCCACTGCTGGAAATAACTACCAGAGGCAGAAGCAGAGGACACAAAAAATGAAGTCCAAGAAATTAATTACCAAGTTTATATTAATTAACGTAAGCATGGATGTGCAAATCAAAGGTAACAAGTAATGGATATTCTCCCAACATTTTAAAGCAATGGATACAGCAATAATGTAAAGGAACTGAACAAATATACATGTAACAAAGCACTGATGTTACTGTGAGTCACCTCTGGAGTAAAGAGGGCTGCTGCCAAGCGGCGTGGCTACAGCAGGCTGTGGTTTTCTGTTATTTGGTTGAACAATGATCTGGTAGCCCTGCATCAACCTCTGACAGATAAATTCTTCAAACACCTGAGACGCACTCGTCAGTGGTGCTTCATCTTCACGTCTGAGGACAAGACAGAAACATGAAAACATGTGAATTGCTTATTGGTCTGCCATTCACTTCCACGAGCTGATGGGACAGCCACCAGGAGCAGCTAGGGGTTCAGTGTCTTGCCCGAGGACACTTCAACATGTGGACTGCAGAAGCAGTGAATCAAACCACCAACTCTCCGATTAGCAGCCGACCCGCTCTACCTCCTGAGCCACAAACACCCGCATCCAGTACACAACTCTTTGGTCGAGAGTTGCTCCATGAGCATGTGAGCTTATGAAGAACTATTGTCTGTTAGACTGGCACAGGCACAAAGTGATTGGCTAAAGAGTGTTTTATTTTAAAGACAGGATGCGGTCTACCTCTCCAGGTCACTGTGCGGCAGCAGGTCATAGCAGCCTTCAGTGTAGTCATTCTGCAGTGTCTGGCGATCGGGGAAGTAGTCGGTGGTGAGGGGCAGGCAGGCTGGTGTGGTCAGAGACTTCCAGTCCACCCCAACTGTGCAGCAGAAGCTGGGCACTATCGGGGGTGCAGACAGCAGCAGGGCTTCAGGAGCACCCACACCAAACACACGCACACACACACACAAAATCCCCACAGCAAAGACAAATGCATGTACCCAGAGGGGAGAGGTACATGGGCATGTTTGGAGAAGCAAAGAAAGAAGTAGGGAAGATAAAGACATGAACACGAGAAAAAAGTGAAGATGAAGGTACAAAAAAAATTAGAAGAGAGGGGAAGAAAAAAAAAACAAGGAAAGTGTTATTTTACTGGCCTCACTGCCCCCGCTCATGACTCCTGAGGGGCTTGTAGTTGTGGAGCAGTGATCAGACATGCAGATTGTATGGCTCTGTGACAGTCGATCTGTGATCAGCATCACTTAGAAGCAAGTGGAAATGTGTCCTGAGTTCAGCAAAGGTGTGAACTGTAAACTGATTGAGTGAATTTAAGCAAAGAGATCACATCATGCAAACATTCAGATGGTGCACAAACCTTCAGTTAAAATATTGTGTGCAAGAGAAAGACTGGTTTAACAGAAGCACCCATTTACAGTTACACATACTATGCACACTGCCATGCAGGAATGAGATCAGGCTTGCTCAGTGCAAACAGGTCCTGGTATAGGAACATTATGGCAGGGCAAATTAATTAGAGGATATGATGACCCTGTAATATTTCATCAGAAGAATTAAGTTACATATCAACTGAAGAAGGCCCCGAGAAAGAGGCAGAAAAGAGTCGAACAGGTAAAGAGAAGATACAGATGGAGAATGAGAGGGTAACCTTGAACCACATGACTTGGAATAGCTGGTTATACCTGCAGCCCCAGGAGACAGATGATCGGTGGAGAAACCAGCCTGCTGAAGCTGAATAAGCCCCCACAGGTTAAAGACACCTCTGAAGGTTTATTGTCTTCATCACTTTAAGTTTAGTGATTATCAGCCCCGCAGATATGACAACATGACAATGTTTGTGACTAACTCGACTGACATGTATTTGTTTTCATAAAAGCAAGATAAACTCACTTGGATTGGCACTACTGGGGGAGAAGTCTTCAAATGAGGAGCCGCGGTTAGTCAGAGTTCCTGTACAGAAATAAGAATGAAACAAAAAATCAGCAGTTACAATTTTTATAACATATAATGTCATTGCCAATTAATCATTTGCACTAGCAATGTCAGAAAATAGTAAAAATGCTCATCACAGTTTGACATAATCTTGTAATCTTCCACTTCAAAGTACTGTATGCTTACAAGTGCTGGGGAGTACTAGGGTGTGTGTGAAGAAACCCTCTGTAGGCCACACCTAACGAGCCTGATACTCATCTCTTCAGGCTACATTAGCAGCTACTTAGCAAAAACATGTGAATCTCCATCAGTGGCTGAGTTGAACTGTAGGTAATGTAAAATATAAACGTAATAATAAATAATAAAAATACTCTAGCATAAGCATAAGGATGGTGTTAACAAAACCCATGAAAAGACCAAAACCAACAATATGTTAATCCATCTCAACAGTTTCTGACATCCCTATTACCTGTGACACTCAAAACCAAGCTCCTTGGTTCTTATTGAAGGTTAAAAAATAGCTCACAAGTACCCCGTTTCACTGTTTTTAATTCTGTAATTTCCTAAAAGAGCTGGTAGCCGTAGCTTTTAGCAAACGTCACTCAAACAGAATTGAACAGCACAACAGAACAGCGCATTGGGCGGGACTATTTTCAGTGGAGTAATACACGTTTGTTGTTGTAGTGAGTATTTGTGGCCGCTAAACGATGTATGTGGGGCTGAGTCAAAATAAACCAGTGTGTGTTCATGGTAATGAAGGAACATATTGTGCAATAGTCTGGCCTATTGATCTTTTAACAGCAATTCTCTAAGGTACAGACAGCTATGACATGTCAGGCTCTGGTTCCAAACAAAATACTTTAGAAGATCAGTTAAGATCAATCAAAAAAAAAAAACTGAATATTGCCAGCCTCATTGATATTGACACATTATATATGTCTTTATTACTTTATTGAATAAATGACCACTGTGCCACCAGTCTGGTGTGCTTCCAACATCTCTGCAGAAAGCTACAGAATATATGTTATAATGTATTTATTAATTATATATTAATAATATATAATATTAAAAGGAGGACACTGTTTTTGAGTAGGCATATCACCACTGCTGTTGCTTCCTGGACTTCCAGTGAACTCTTCCACCCCCCCACCAATGTAAAGACCATTCTCTCCTGCTTGTCTTGAGGTCCTTCGCCTTATAAAAAAGAGAAATAACAAGCCTTCATCTCGCTGTCTGTGCATCAAGCCAGCATTGTTTACAAAGAAAATGTCTATTCCCTGTGATAGGTGTGTCTAACCTTCCAGTGGCCTCGTGATAGGCCAGCTCCAGCAGCTCGGCGGAGGTGTGGGCAGGGTTTCTCTGCGGGCTGCCCTGTAGTTCAGCCATGTTTTGTCTGGTCTGGTGATGGATCTGGATGGCTTCTCCAGAAGGACCTGAAGAACAACAATGGCACATACACTCTGCTGCTTAGATGAATGCTGACCATATAGCTACAGTCTCTTGCTCTTACTTGGACTCTGATCTGGTATCACAACACCTACTGTATATACTGTATATTTGTTGCCTACTTCTACTGTATGTAATACACTGTACACATGCATGATTACACTAAGGCTACTGTGAACACACGAACTGAAACCACACATCATCTACCAGGTTGATGACACAGAAACATTAGACTTTCCTTAAAACCTCACTAAATCATAAATTATGGCTGAATCAGCCACAGATAAACTTTCCTGATAGATTCAGTTTTTTGGGAAAGGATAAAAAGACAGTGATGAGGAAGAGATGATGCCATCGTTAAATAAATATGCATTTCCACAAAGCGGTAGTGAGTGAAGTGCTCAACTAGGCTACAATTGCCAACTCATACCTTGACTACTACTCATAAATTTCTGACTGCACGAGGCATCGAGGATGGTGTGTCACCTCACCAACGGGAAAGGTGTGCATCCAGCGGCGGCGATTAGAGGTGAGCTTCATGGGCATCCTGGATGGGGTGAAGGGGTTTATGAGAGCTCTCTGAGGAGTGAAACCTCCTGGTCGGATGTGCAGGATTGACTCAGCACTTCCCACTGTGAACCTGCCTGGAGCACTGGAATCCCGCTGAGGGTCCATCATCTTTTCTAGCAACTCTGAACAACAGAATAACATAACAGGACAACAGGAATGGGATGGACAAAGTAAACAGGCCGAGCACACTTCATTAAAAATTCACTGGACTAATCCAGCTGAGCTGGTGCAATGATCAGAGCCACAGTTCCAGACTACACCTCTGTGGGGAAGTTACCTCTAGTGCTTGTGTATCCCAGAGAACTACTGACTTCATACTGGGCAGGAGGCATGCGGGGTATTAGAAGCATGTTGGACACAGGACCCAGACTATCATCAGAGGCCAGACTACGCTGTTCCTCAGGGCCCCCAGAGCGTACGGGAGGGGACACCCCTATGCCTGCACTGACGTCCACCGAGCCCCAGCTCTTCCTCCCGCTTGTCTCTTTATCTCGAGTCATCCTGAAAGACAAACCATAACTACTGTTCAACTGGGCTGAAAGTGCACAAGGTTCAAGAGGCAGGATACGTCTTTCTCTGCAGTGTCTGTGTGGAGTTTAGTGTTGTGCAAGCAGTAAGACACCTGAGGTTGGTGGTCCTTTGAATTCGTGATGGACCAGGCAGTCTGAACACCTGAGCATCATAGGCATCATAGTCCACCTGTATAGGCAGGCTGTTGTCAGAGTCCTTTGGAACACAGAGAGCTGAAAGATGTCATGAAGAGGAAGGATGAAGTGAAGATGAAGTCACTTGACTAAGTGCTGCCTTAGAAAATTAGAAATATGTCCAAGAGATAAACAGTTCCAACTCACCGTGGTCTTTGCTGCTTTTGAATTTTTCGGCATGAAGCTAGAAATAATTATAATTTTAATGAGCTGTTAAAACCTACAACAAACCCCTTTCAAACCTTTTAAGTACAAAAAAAAAAAGTGCTGCAAAATGTAAGGGTACCTTATAGCTGGCCAGTTTGATTCGAGGCGTGAAGGAGCTACAAGGGTTCTGACTTTTGGAGGTGTAGAAGCTGAGTGTGCAAGACACAGATGCCAACAAGATACAGATCAATTGAGTACACCATCATGTAAAATTTGAAATGTCATCAGTCAAGCTGCCTTGCCTGTGGTTGATCCAGTGAGGCAGGTTATAGTCATCCCCCACACGAGAGTCTCCTGGTGTCATCCTGTTATGTAGCTACAGAGAAAATGGCAGACACATCACTAACCAACAGGTATAATCTAGACCATATGTATTTGAACAGTTACACGTTTTTTTTTCTCTTCAAAGTCTGTGCTTCAGGACATTCGATTTGAAATAAAATTTTTCACACTGAAAAATTCTTTGGTTGCTTCAGCTGTGTGTTTAGGATTTGCTCCATGATGAAATGTTGTCCAGTGAGTTTTGATAAATTTGGCTGAATCGGAGCAAGCACTCTCCTTCGGTACACCTCTGCATTCATCCTGTTGCTTCTGTTGGCAGGGAATTCATTGCCTGCCCAAGAAACATTTAGTAGTCAAGTGTCCAGTTACTTTTAAACCCTCGTAATTTGGGCATATGGAGTCGTATCCTTCACACAGGTTTTTCTGTACTGATGTAAGCCTGTTCAAAATAACGCTGACACTTGGCACTTTAATGTAGTGTCTGTTAGTTTATTTCAAATTGAACGTCCTCAAACACAGCCTGAAGACCAAAGATTTAGTGCCTTTAGAGACTAGGTACTCTGGATGTGTTACCTTGAACAACGGCACTGCGTGCAATGGCTGCTCCCCCATACATACCAAATCTACCCCGATACCTAAAGAAGGGGGAGTATTTGTCATCAGCATACTTTAACTTCAAACAACAAACCTTTAATTCATTGATAACATGTAGATTTGTTCAGGTCATGTTTGAAGCGTGTCTCTATCGTCACACTCACCATTGTCAATCATTCGCTGTTTGGTGAGAATCATAAGCAGGCGGTCAACTTCAAACACTCCTACCCCAGGTGTGATGACCACTGACATCTGTCCGGTACGGTCAAAGTTACGGTTGATGTAGTGCTTGTCAAATACTGTGGGAGACATGGTGACTAATTGGTGAAAGACTGACTCATGAAATTCAATCCATCCATTATCGATACCACTTATTCTGAAGAGGATAAACAGGCGAGTCTATCAAAGGGCTGACATGTAGACAAACAACCACACACACCAACACTCAGAGTCACCAATCAACCTAAGCTGCAGGTCTTTGGACTGTGGGAGGAAGCCGGAGTACCCGGAGAGAGAAGCCACGCAGACAAGTTCACCAATGCACTATTTAATAAGGAGAAAGGTGGCACCTTGAAAGTGCCTAAGAGAGAACTGGAGGCTTACACTGAAAAGATAAATGCAGATAAAAACAGGGATAGGCAGCTAGGTCTGCCAGTAGATATGCCCCCACTGGGGCAGTAGAGCAGTCTATGAACACCAACGCACCAACACTGAGAGAAGTGGAAATGGTAGTTAGGTGAGCAAGAGCAGGATCAGCCTCTGGGCCTAATGGGGTGCCCTATAAGTCATATAAGTACCCTCAAGATTTTCTTCAGTGTAGTGTTGTACAATGCAAATTCTCTGTGTCAGGCCAACTATCTGCTATTTGCTTGGGTGAGGACACCGTTCAGGGATGTGTATCGTTGACTGACTATTCTGTATTTAGTTAATTAACGGGCTACATGCATACAAGAATATCTTTTTTCCTGTCTGTTTTATCACATTGTATGGTCCTGAGGACTCATAACCCAGAGACAAGGAAAGGATGCACTAGCCAAAGGGGACAGTAGAATAACAAAGACAGACACTCGGCCTTCACATGCCTTCTTTTGAAACTGACAGTTATGCAAAACACATCTCATTATGTGGTGTGACTGTTCCTACATGATCCATAACTGCCACCATAGGTTAGGTTGCTTGAAAATATTTTAAAACAGTTTAATTAAACTGCTGTTATAATGAACTGAAACAAAATAAAATATCAGTCTGATTATCAGGCAGCTTGAAACATGGCTTAGGAAATAACTAACCAGCCATTTGTTGGTACTGGGGAAATAAAACATCACTCAGAGATGGTGACATACAGCAAATTCTACAAATAGGACATTTTACTTTAGTATGCTTAGTGTACACTGCACAGTGCACACAACAAATCCTACATGCGATAACTGTCATGTTGAGTTTTTCTGAGAGCAGTTCTACTCCGGCATTAGATTACATACCATTGAAGGAAAGGTTAATGGCCTCTAGGTAGTTCCCTTGAGCAGCAGTTGAGTTATAACCCACCGGAAAACCATCTGGCATGAGAGCAAATAAATACGAGATTTTAGTTACAAATTTTTCGGCACCTGATCCAATGCTCCATTATTCAGCTAAACACTCGTCTCATTGACTACCTGCTTCTTTTAGTCGCACCAGGACAGGGTACTGGATGAAAAGCTTCTTGATTGTGACCAGTAATGATGTCCATTCATCCCTTCTCTCATTCTGAGCTACGACCCTGATCACAGCACAGTTAGGAGTCAAACACCACCGTCACTCAGTGTGTAATTCCGCTGTGCTCCAAGTAAGGGCTAACACAGTATGCTCACCTGTAAAAGTCTTCATAAAAACGTCCCGTGTGATCCTGTCTGATAGAGCTTCTCAGAATCTCAGGAAATTCATCTGAGGAAAATCATACATCAGATATAGCCATGTTCCCACATGGCTGCAGTATTAATCAGTCACAACTCATTGAGATGGTAAAGCAAAAAGACTTACCTATAGCTTTAGCACTGTAGAATGTACGCGAGAAGAGTACAACTGTCACCTCATGACTGCAGTTCTTCTCCTTTAACATTAAAACAGAACGTTTTATAAATTAGTAATTAACTTTGGGGGGAAATTTTAAAGTTTGCCTAATAGAAAGTCACACAAACAAAAATCACAAACCTTCCACTTGGCAAAAAGGTCAGACAGGAAACCATTCACAGCCTTTTCAAAGTAGAGGTCACCTGAGAGCAAAACATTCAGCTAAGACATGCTCCTCCAGAGACAGCATGTCAACATGAGAACGTTTGTGGCATTGAAGAACAAACATAAAAAGACACAATAAGCTTATAATACGTGAATGACCAAGCAGAGAGGTCCAACTAACCATAGATGTCAAAGTCCCACATCTCACAGCTCATCTGGATAAAGATGTACACCATTGCAGATGTGGACCTGAACACCACCTGTATTATAAGATGACGGGATGTTTCACATTAATGCTCTGAACATAATGAACACAGTGACTATTTGACAGGAAACAGAGCTACATGCATGCTGTAACAATTAGCTTCCATTCCCAGATTTGCATTCATTCGTTTATTACTGGTGTATAGTGCTGAAATGATTCATTGATCAATACCACGTTAAACAACAACAAATTAGATAATCATCAATTTATATGTCATTTTCAAACAATATGCTGGTTTTGTTTGTTTCATAACATTGAGATTAAATATGGTTAGGGCTGTTGTTTAAGCAAAACTGTATTATAAGCATCTGTCCCTTTGTGGTAGTTCTCCCCTTTCTCAACTTCAGACATCCAAGAAATCCGTGAAGACAACGTTCCTTGAACCAAGGTTGTAGTTCAGTAACTTCAGACTGGCAAAATCAGCAGTAAAGTTACATAAGGTTGAAAAATGTTTGAATTATCTTGAGCGTCTCCAGGACCACTGCTAATCACCGCCTTAATATGAGCGGTGGGACTGCAAATCTTTATTAGTGTTGCCTTAAGACATATTTGTTTGCTGCTCCAGCATGCTAAGTGACTGTAAGTGTGTGTACTGAACAAACACAAAGCACTTAAGCACTGATGAACCTTCTTCCTCGGTCAGCTGCCAACCACGTCATGTGATGCATTTCTTAACTTGTGTGCAGTAATTCATTCAAAAATGATTTTTCACAGATTTTTCATGTCATAAGACTTGTGAGTTGCCTGCCTTAAATAGATTTTAAGTGGTAAAATATTTGGGTTTTAGAATTAGTTTTGCATCCCATTATGGTCTGGTAATTATTTTCAAAAGACTTTTCTATGCTGAATAAAAGTACAATTGTGGCAAATAGTGCCTAACATGCTAAGGTTTTGTGATCTAAAAAAGTCCAATCCACACACTGAAAGCTTCCTGAGCTTTTGCCTTCTGAACTGTTTAGTATGATACTTACCCTGGTGTCTTCACTGATGTAACCGCAGGTCACTTTTTCTCCCTTCACCCACAGTTCACTGGCCTGGGCTCTAGAGAATCAAAAATTCTATAACCATGCAAGGAGACACCAAAATCCTCTACATCTTACAGAAATCTGAGTCAACACCTTTGTACACCAAGAGAACAAGGTAAAACAAAGCCACAGTGTCTTAGGAAAGTTCTTGTACCATAACTGCCCCCTTGTCATTTTTATTAATGCTTACTGTATGTTGGCTAATTTGGGTTTCTGCTCAGAAAAGTACATAGTACACATTCAAATCACTCTGAATGCTTTTATAAAAATGAAGTGTAGAGAATGAAATGTATGCTTAGTACCGGATTCCTGCAAACTCCACCTTCTGCGTCACATAAGCACATGTGCTCACCTAGAATAAAAATCGTAACAGGTAAATCCTCATGTAACACATGATTATAAAGAAGAAGAGACTTTTACATTCCCTACCAGACTCTTCTTTAGTCTCCACATGTCTCCTCTGCCAATGTACTGGTCCTTGAAAGTAAGCTCCACCAAGTCCAGCATTGCATCCTGGGAGGAAAAATGTCTAAAACATTCTCTGTGACTGACAAGAGGAGAAGCTGAGAAGTACTCAGACTGACCCTACCTTAGGATCCACAATGTTAACAATGACATCCTGGTATGCCCGCAGTTTGAAGGCTTGTGCTACAGTCTGGTCCACACTGATTGTCTCTGAATAAGAATGGGTAGTGAACAGACAAGGTGACTATCACAAACACTGGCATTTTCTTCTCAATAAATGATCAGAACAGTTACAATAAATGCATATTTGTCCATTTACAGATTTACCTGATAATTTAGAGCACCAAATACACTCAGACCACCAACTATAGCCTAAAAATGACCACAGAGCTGAACGCTGAACATTTTAAGCATCACAAAGGCAGGACATGTCTTAGGGCTGTATTGGATTGAATTACATACACTATGTGATTATTTTGTCCACCATCCAAGGCCGCTCAATACAATCTGATGCACGATATGGTGCGTACAATTCAATTCAATCACAATACAATTAAAAATTCATTGACAACAATGCAGAACTAGCTGCAGAATACTTGTATTTCATTCTTTATCCCCCTTTTCTAGCACTGGCTTGATTATGTAAAGAACAACAAGATATACTGATTTAAGTTCTGTTAGGCTGTCTTATTTACAAAAAATATGAAGTTAATGGTGTATGGAGGCCACACCATATAGTATATCGCTAGGCAAAACGATACATACTGCAATGTTTTTGTATCGCAATACGTTGAATTTGGATATACTGTCCCATCCCCAAAAATTTTTATCAATTATTTTCTCAATTACTCAATAAATTGTTTGATTAATAAAATGGCAGAAAACATTGTGTTCTAAAGCCCTGGGCCAGTCTGACCACTGGTTCCTGTTTCTAATTCCTGCATATGTTCTCAGAAAAACTGCTCCTACCATCACAAGGACTGTAAAAACCTGGCCTGATGGTGCCTCTCAGCAGCTACAGGACTGTTTTGATAGGACCAACTGGGATGTTTTTGAACATCCAGACCTGGAGGTGTTTACAAAGTGTCCTGTGTTATATTAAGAACTGCATAGACACTGTTACTGTGGACAAATCCACAGCTCTCAGCCTCAGCACTGGTTCACCACAAGGCTGTGTGCTGAGCCCCCTGCTCTACACCCTGCTCTACACCCTGTACACCCACGACTGCACCCCCGCCCACCACAGCAACACCATTGTAAGATTTGCTGATGACACCACGGTGGTGGGGCTTATCTCTGGGGGGATGAGACTACTTACAGGGATGAGGTGGAGAGGCTGATAGTGTGGTGCAGAGAACAATCTGCTCCTTAATACCTCAAAGACTAAGGAGGTCATTGTCGACTTCAGGAGGACGAAAACTGACATATTGTCACTGTATATCAGCTCGGACCGTTTGGAGAGGGTGCTGGCCTTCTGCTTTCTGGGAGTCCATATTGAGAAGGATCTGACCTGGGGCACGAATACCTCTGGACTGCTTAAAAAGGCCCAGCAGAGACTGTACTTCCTACGGTGCATCAGGAAGAACAACATCTCCCAGAGACTGCTGGTGTCCTATCGGCGCTCCATTGAGAGCATCCTTACATACTGTATATGTATATGGTACAGCAGCACAGTAGCTCAGAGGAAGTGCTCCAGAGGCTCATTAATACAGCCCAGGAGATCATAAGCTGCCCTCTCCTCACTCTGGAAGGACTACACAGTTCCTGCTGCCCACCCAGGATGTTTACTCTTTGAACTGTTGCCATTAGGTAGACGGTTCAGAGTAATCAAATCAAGGATCGCTAGACTCAAGAATAGTTTTTACCCAACAGCAGTTACCACACTCAAAGCTGCTAAAATATAATATGTTTTTTTATTGCTGTACCAACTGGAGGTCACTTTAAATTTTCATTGTACGTGTTACAATGACAATAAAGATTATCTATCTATGTATCTATCTAATGTCATCACATAATTTGTTATGCAAGCAACTCTTAAACACAAAGATGCACAGTTTATTACCACAAAATGCAAAAAAGCACACACACAGACACAAAACGCAAGCAACTCTTAAACACAAAGATGCAGTTTATTACCACAAAATGCAAAAAGCACACACACAGACACAAAATCCCAAACAAATAGTTGTTCACTTATCAAAGGTTTGCCACTTAATTTACTGCAGACTGACTAATCAGTTAATCGACTGATCATTTCAGCTCTGTACCATTTTGTCCTGTTGTCTGCTGTCGCAGCAACATCATGTTCAACTCTATCTTGTCTAATCTAATTCCTGAAATATGGCAAACATGCTACTACATACAGTGTTAGGCCACTTACCTTTCTGCAAGTCCTCTTTTAGGCTCTTCACCTGGAGCAGGAGAGGACTGGGAATTTCGAAATAGACAATACCAGATTACAGGCTCAGTAGTGAAATAATGTGTTAATCCTAACACACCAATTAAGATATCCAACACAGTGATCCTCCCATGATGCGAGCTCACCTGTATTCATCTGTGGGGTGCGCAATTTCGATTATATCCCCTAGACTGACCTGAGGGAAAACTTTTGGGTTGACAACCAGCTCATCATCTGCCCAAGGGACAAATCAATTTGAAAACCAATCTCATAAAAATAACATCTTTCACAAGAGAAACATTAATTTAGAGGAGGTGGAAATTCTCACTTACCACTTCCACCAAAACCTTTCTTGTGCAGCACAAGCTTATATGATTTATTAGTCTTCATGATAAACCACCTGGGGACGAAAATCAGTAGCCTACTTAGTTTGGGACTTATCAAAGCCGTAAGAAAGCTAACACACGTGCTGTGGTACAGTGGCTCTGTTTATGTATGTCCATTCCTAAACTCAATTCTGCTATACACACAGCGTCAATCCATTGTATCTTATAGTCCTGTGTTGGGAAACGCTAGAAGTATGTAAGAAAGTGGCGAGCAAGGCAATCTCATAGTGATAATACAATAAATGAAAAAATAAACTGACCCGACTGTCAGACTTTATGACCACATACGGAACGCATACAGCAGTAGCTACCCGAGCAGTCTCTCCCCTAAAGCCAAACTCCTAGCAGTCCAAACTGCCCTGGGATGTTGACTTTTGCTAGCCTAGCATGTCGCTAATCTGACACAATTTACAGTTAGCGAACTCAGTTAACTAACACTAACTGACCACAGTGTTATAATAGCTGCTTTTGTTAAAATTCATATAGATGAAATAGGTTAATAGCTACTGTCTTTGGTATGGAAATATAACGCCTAAAGCAATTTCCCAGCTAACTAACCTACGCTGATGGTACTTCCTCCACAACATAGAAAATGTGATCTGATTGGCTCGCGGCCGTTCAGAGTACCTTAATAAAACAAGAGTGTTCACCCCACTTATTTCCGTCTTCGTTTCTGTCGGAAGATTAAAACGCCGAATTGGTTTGTTTTTAATTCGTTTTTCTGAGAGTCAAGCATCGATATTGTCGTTGAAATCAAGCATATGCAGCTATGATGTAATGTTAGTGTCATTAGTCTTCGTTGAGATATCTGGATCACCGCCACAAATAAAGGTACATTGGTATAAAACATGTTTTATAGCACATAAGGAAGTCATCATCACGAAGTTAGTTCATCAGTTAGGTATTTTGATTATTTCTGTTTTGCATATCCACATTTGATCATCTTCAATATTATGAAGACAAAGCAGTCCATTCAGCTAAACATTTTTATTAATTGGTAACAGGCTTTGACAAAAATACTGGCACCATAAATGCACAGGAGCTCTCATCAGCTATTGCTCCATTATATCAAGATATTACTTTAAGAAATTACATTATAATCTGATCATTATATTAGCTGACTTAACACTAGACTCATTTACACGCTTTTGCTACATCAACTACATTCAGAATGAAACACTGAAAGCTTATATTATGTAGATTTTATGCAAAAAGGTCAAATTCATATGTATTACTATCAGTAAAAAGAATCCATTATTGATGTCCTCAGTCCAGTAACAACTTACTTCCAGGAACACATACTGGTCAAATTGTTCTGTAAACATCAGAATACATGGCAGTTTTCAATTAAATAAAAAACCTAACTGAATATATCCTAATGCACATTTCAGTTCAGTGGGAACATGATTTCTGATTTTGATTTCTGCAGCTGTAGCTCAAGATACAGCCTCCATCTGGTTCAGCTCCCTTTAACACTCTTTTCATCAGCAGCAGCCTCTCTTTATGTCTTGTGCTGTGGCCTCCTCCAAGTTGGCACGATCAGATTCTGTCAAGAGAAACATTTTTCTATATATGTTTTTTACAATTAAGACTTCCATTATCAACCTCCCTCCTTGTTAGGGGTTGAGTCATTACTTACTGATACCATCTCCTCGTCCAATGCAAGCAGGGACCCCGTTCTCCATGTCCTTCAATATACTCTTCTCAAAGGCTAAAGCAGCCACCCTGAAAAAAAAATCCTGCACATTCTCCCCTAAGAATAAGAAAAATCAGTGGCTTCTTGCCATGGTTTAAATGTTGTATATTTATGTTTATTAATGAACCATGCAGCTGCAACTGGCAAGTGTGACCTCTTGGTAATACCTGTTTTAGCTGAAACAGCCCAAAACTCTGCATGGATTTCTGTTGCTATTCGAATGGCATCTTTTTCTGTCCTCTGTCTTTCTTCTGATGGCTTATAAGAACAAGACAGATGGGTACTATTAGAAAAAATGTGTATAGATGGGTACAATATGTAAAATGTACAGTATATGTGAAAATCTGCAATATATATGTAAATAATGTACAATGACTCACCAGCAGGTCATTTTTAGTGCCAACCAAGAAAATGAAACAGGAGTCAGGCTCATTTTCTCTTGTGGCCTCCTCCAACCACTGGCTATGAAAACAAAACAAAAATCCTCACATTAAAATACAGTCCATTTACCATCTTCCAAGTCAATCAGCACACTCTTGCATTACTCATTACTCACTAAAACAAGTTTTACTGTATGTACAAGTTTTCTATAGATGTCATTTTAAAAGACTCACAGAGTCGACTTTTGAAAGCACAGGCAGTGCAGAAAGTGATCAAGACGGACTGCATGCATGTCCACTTTGTTCAGAAACTCAAATATGATCTAAGTGAAATGCAATGGAGCTTTGACTGGTTTGTCACACAGATGTCTTTATTATTGTGTGTGGTCCGATTGGCAGCTGTGCCTTTATTATCTGATGCTGAAAATGCTCAGCAGCTGGCTCTAATTTTGTATGCTGCTTAGTGTTCAGATTGTATACAGTGAATTAACTGGAGCTTTTTTTTTACTGAAAAGTGCTGTATGCTGTAGCTGATGAGAGCAGTGAAAGTGAGCCTAGCCAGTACCAGTAGCTAAAAAATAATAATAAATTAAAATGCTGTAAAGCTCCATAGAATTGAAAGGAACTACAGATGATAATTCTCTGTGGTTCATCACGACTAGTGTCTCCTTTCATATACAAGTAGTCATGTGATCCCTTGTTTTTATAAAAGTATTGATTATAGCTGCTACAAAACCTTGCAAAACACAAATTCTACCCATCCATCTGCCTTTTCCTTTTCAGTGCTCAAGTTCAATCACATTAGCCTTCCAAAGCAGTGACATTGCCCCATATCAGCACACCAAGAACTGCAGTGTCACAGCAAGCTCAGATGTGGTAATGAATACATATTTGTGTGACCACAAACTGTAATATGGGTGTGATGTTGCAGTTTATAGTCTAACAGTGTAATACTGGGCTAAACAGGGTGATGCACACCACTAAAATAATTCATTTCTTAATTTTCAAACACTGTGCATCAGTGTTTCTGTTACAGACTTTAGACATGAGTAGAATAAGCCCAATGATAATTTTATAATCAGACTTACCGTGTATGATCTAGGGACTTAATGTCTGCCATGTCAAAGACTGTAACAATGACTGGAAAAGATGAACAAGATGTTTCAGCATCATTACATTTAACCCAAGTAAAATGTAAAATGGTGTCACCTCATCTAGCATCAGACAAGATAATTTTTTAAAAACCATTTATTCCAGCACCTTCTTACCCTGAGCCGCTCTGTAGTATGCAGAAGCAATGCACTTGAATTTTTCCTGTCCAGCAGTATCCCAGCTATGCAACAGTAATTAACCAATAATTATGGATGTCAAAACAAAAGTACTCTAAGTACATGTAGAATTATTTAGGTATTTATAATCAGGCTACTCACATCTGAAGGGAGAAAGGTATGCCAGTTATTTCAAACCTCTCAATCTCAAAGTCTACTCCAATTGTGGCCTTGTAGTCTCTTTCAAATACATCTTTACAAAACCTGAAAACAACTAAAACAAGTCAGTTTTTTGCTCCATCATACTGAGTTCACTTAGATTCCCTGCAACAGTCAGTTTCTCTTAGCTTTTTATAGGAGAAATCAGTTAATTGAAACAGTTCATGCAGTATAGGCAAGAGAAATGTCCTTAAATGTTTAGTATAAAGACTTTTTGCATGCAGTTTTGTTGTATCTCAGTAATATCGGTTATGTCTTAACTGGCTTCTTAGTGATAAAGTACCTATTTATGAGGCAGGTCTTCCCCACATTAAGGTCTCCAACAACCACCACTTTTGACATTTTCTGCCGGTCCCACCTTTAAAGAAGATATGCAAAGATTAATAATTTATATGCAATGTTCAAATGAAGCTAAGAATGATGCAGTGACCCACAGCAGGAGACTCACGGCTGATGTCTGGTGGCTCTGTCTTTACAGGCTGCTTTAGCCTGAATGTCCCAGTCTTTCTTCAGCTGCAGAGAAGCCTCAGGTGTGTAGTACTGAAAGAACAGGATGTACTACTAGCATATACTAGCAGTGCTTTGAACTCAATGCTAACATACTTACATCAACAATGCCAACATACAGATGTTAAGCAGATATAATGTTTACCATATGCTACTACCTCTAAATTAGCATCAAACATAAAGTATGTCTGAAGATGGTGAGAATGTCATAGAATTTGCACGTATTTAGCCATACAACAAAGTATTAGAAACAATAAAAGGTTTATCTTTTGGTTGCTGTAGATAAAAGGGAAATAATCACCAATTCATTACAATTCACCTTGAGCAATTTGATCTGTTGTTAAGACATTTGACCTAAAACCACAAATATAAACCTCATGGTGATGCTATTCAATTCAATTTTATTTGTATAGTGCCAAAACACAGCAACAGTCATCTCAGGGGGACTTTACATAGTGGGATCTAGATCAGTAATATGGAGAAAAACCCAACATCTCCCCCTTGAGGAAGCACTTGGTAACTACAGGGGAAGTCAGGAAGTGTTGTAAGGATAATCACTTTATTTGGCCAAGTATGTTATGCACACAAGGAATTTGTTAAAGATGTTAAAAGATATATATAGATTCTGTAGAGCCCATGAATATTTGTACAAAATTCTGTCTCAGTACCTTTGATAGATGTTGAAATAGTTACAGGCTAAGTGAATAATTTGATTGGATTGTGGTGCTAGTATAAGAGTCAGCAGATCTTCAAAGTCATAAGTATTCATCCTTTGGGCACCAGGAATATCAGTACCATATTTTATAGAAAGCCATGCGATAGTTGACGTTTCTCTGAAGGCCAAAAATATTACCCTCATGGTGGTGGCACTAAACGGTTCAGTTATGTTCAAATTCAGAAAGGTTCATCGTCTGCGGGCCACCAATATCTGTTCATAGGGGTTTGATAATACACTTAGCTCATGAGATGAGACTATACACTATATCGGGTTCGAGAGAACAAAACTAGACAATATTTTAACACTACTTTTAAGAATTCTTCAATGATGAAATATACAACTGGAAAGTCTTTTATTCAACTGAAAGTCACAAAATGTAAAACTGTGCAGGTGCATTTTGAAAAGTGTTACCTAATCCTCTTATAATGAATGTCACTCCAGTTCTACTTTCTGAGTGTGAATGATCATATGCAGTAAAAGGTCACAATATGCAGGCACCAGTCACACCCCTATCTGTTCAAATTTTACATATAGGTTTTAATTTACTTTTAATACTTGTTGAGATATTTCAGTCTGGACCCAAGCTGTGGACTAACTGAGAGAGTGACACTGACATCCTTGGAGCCATGCCACTAGCATGATTCAGTTGTATATGCAACTTATCCTATTATGTTCTGCTGCAACAATAACGCACAGTGTGTCAATGACTACGTTGCTGTAATATATTATATGTTGCTATGCATATACTGTAGAATTTCCTCCAAAAGTGGTCACTCAAGTCATCAGAATAAACTGGGTTAACCCAAATCTTTGGTATGAGAAACCCAGTTCAGATGCTTGTGTTACTGAGGTATTAAACTGGTCACTGTGGTACTGCAACATCTGACTTATAGCTGTCACCTTAGGTCCTCAAACCCCAAGCCACGGTACTGTGTGTGTATTTTATGTTATCCAAACATTTGAGGAAATCGTTATTTGCCCTCCTATGAATACATTGTGCTTGCAAGATTCACCATCTTATAATTCAAAAAATATGAGCTGAAAATGCAAGACTGATGTACCTCTGGGAATTCCCAGATGACTCTGTCTCTGCTGATGGGTGGTGGGATTGGCATCATGCCATTCCTGTTATACTGCATGACGACCTGAGATGGATTATGTAGAGTTAGCTTTATCTGTCTCAGCATATTGCCAAGCACTCCTTCGGTGTTTGTTGAGATATTTACAAAGGTGACATTTAGACTTCGCAGCCATATCCCAAATATAGTATGTAGGCTATAATGTGTGTGACAGATAGACATGTAGCCTATAACCCTTCATTGTAAGTGTTGAAGACTAGTTGGTACATTAAAAACACAACTATTCAGCATAATGTAGTTCTCTGTAGTTATCCAGGTACAGTGCAGAAATGTAGCTGACTTCTGAATAAAATATTAGCAAAACAAAACATATCATTTAACATTAATCTTTATTACGCCTGCTGTTTCGTACAGATGTTTTTGTTTTTCTTAATTTCCTACCCCAGTTCCAAATTCTGCGAAGGCGAAGCTCCAGTTATTTCTGTATGAAGGTCCTCGGCGGATCTCTGGCCACATCTGCTTACGACGACACCGAAGCTACGTTGGTTCTATGTCCTTTGGTGGCAGTGGGGCGACAAGGTAAACAACACAGTCTGCTGTTTCACTCATGGCGTTTGTTTTTATCATCAGAACGGCGTCGTTATACTGTGGTTTAACTGTTAATGTCTTATACTCACAAGAGACGAAATTATGTCGAATATCTCTGTCTCTCTGGATGGGTCACTTGTTGTAGTTACAAGCCCAGACGCTTTCTGATGAGCAAGTCGTCCCCATGACAACCGTTCTGTACAGCCTTTGTCACGTGATAGTTGGACCCGCACAGCTCGTGATTAAAAGTGGCCCATTGTAAGGTCTAATAAATTGCTATCAAAGCAAACAGGTTTATCCTCACTATAACATGCCAATAAAGTCAAGTCAAGGCAAGTGTTTATTGTCATATGCACAGTGAGGAAACGTGTTTCCCTGTATACTGACATTCTTACTTGTCGTCCGCACGAATGCCACACAATATACATCAAATATGTAGATACATAGGTGACACAAAATCTAAGGCACTTTAAAACAGCCAATGAAATAAGCATAATTAAAAATACAACAAGTAAATCACAAAATCTAAACAAGATCTGATTATTGTGATCTGTTGAATGTTGACTCTTTTTGTTGGCACTATACAAATAAATTGAATTGTAATCATTGTCGTTGATGCCAGTTCTATCATTTTATAATAATATAACATATTCGAGTGCGCAATTTTTTCACGATTTACGGTAATCGCAGTAAAACTGCTGCGAGGGCTACTTGAAGTCAAATGCACAACACGAAGTATAAAAGCTTTCTGCAGTATATTTACTACAAACAGCAGTTACTCCTGACTATGAACTGTGACAATGCAATTTTGTACTTGTGCTTAACTTGAAACACGTACTGTTACTTCCAGACTTCAAATGAAATGTCTTAAATTTGTGTTTTCATCAGCATACATTTTCTAAAAGTAGTTAATCAGCCCACTCTGACAATCAGTACTTCATGGACTATTAGCACAAATAATGCCTACTTTTACTATATACTTTGTGAGTATTTGGATACTACAGTAAATTGCCTTACACTGAACAAAAAAAATAGCTTTTGCCTCTAAGTTAGATGGGGAATAAAAACAATGTCTTTCATAAGTAGTTCAGCAGCCTCCTACATTTACAATCAGTATTTCATGGAGTACTAACACAAATCATATAACATAACCACTTTTACTGTATACATTGAGTACTCATACTAAAGTATCTTGCACTTGGGGGAAAAGCTTCCTCTAAATTTGATGGGGAATTAAAAATGTTTCTTCCGTAAGTAGTTCATCAGGCTACTATATTCACACTCAATACTTTATGAACTCCTACCACAAATATTACTTTTACTCTATACTTTGAGCAATCACATACAAAATTGCCTTATGCTGAACGAGAACTAAGATGCAATAAACAATTAACCGCCAAACGGGACCCTGGTGAAGCCAACATTGCTGAAGAAGACCTGGCCACTCTCACCGTTCACCATTTTCCCAATAGGGCCCCTCCATTTTCATTGAACCTCTAGCAGCAGTGGTTATAATTCACACATGACTAGGACCCAAGGGTCGGACTAGAAATAAGTTTTAGATGGTCTTTATTAGTGAGATTAAAAAGTGCAGAGAACAAAAACTCAGAGGCGCTCAACTCAGTGTCAAGGGGAAAAGTTGGGTAACCAGGAGCAGACCCTGGTCAGCAGCAGCCCAGGCCACGGCGAGGAACCAACACGAGTTGTGCAGGCAGTAGTGATGGGACGTACTGTGCCGATGATTCGAAGCATGTGTCCAGAAATCCAGGAAGTGTTTAGTGAAGCGTGTATTGAGGCCTGTATTGCACATACAGCTCCCATGTAGCATACCTTCTCTCTCTATTATGTTCTTATATTTCTTTCATTTGCTGTTTTAAAGTGCCTTAGATTTTGTGTTACTTATTTACTGTCTCTACTATATTTCACTTGTATTGTGTGGCATTCATGTGGACAGCAAAGTAAGAATTTCATTGTACTGGGAAAATAAACTCTTTGACTTTGACCTGACAAGCATCTTCACTGCCCTCCTCTGTTCACAAGCACATTCACCTTCCTCTTCCTTGTTAACATTGACATGAGGTCAAAGGTCAAAGGGTTTATTTGTCATATGCAGTTAGGAAACATGTTTCCCTGTAGTTTGAAGTCATTATTATATGACTTTTTCAACTATTGATGTAAAGGAGGAGGTTCACTTTGGTATGTGTACCACTAACACGGAACACTGATTACAATTTATCAGCCAAGAAACTCTTATGCACACTATTTACAAACGAGCACGTTAATAAGGGGAGACAGAAGCACATGGTTTGAATGGGTTATATTGTGCTCACAAGAGGAAAATGCATAGTTAAATGGCAGTCATTATCCCCATGCCCAAACTGTGGCCAGACAGCTTTGAGAGTATCACATACAGTTAAAATGACATTTGCCTGTCTTACAGTCTTTGACCAGCAGGGGGGATTGTGAGCACATGAAGCCTCGAGAAATGAACCCCTTTGCAAACCAATTAGCTGGACGGCTTTAATGCTTCAGGAAACTTCATCTCGCCATCACTAGCAGGCAGTAGCGATGTCGATATAGCTGGGAGCCAGGAACACATGGGTAAGTTGTGCAAGCCAGGAATGTCGTGTGTGTAGAGATAAGTTGAGCAGATGAGTCAAGTAGCCTGGAGTGGAATCGCCCTCACTGGGTAGCCAGGGCATGCACAGAAAGCTGTACGGGACAGGTGTGGCGTCGTTGGGTAATCCGGAACTCACAGGTACACTGAACAGAATAGGACTGAACTCACTCAGTACCAAAGAACATCCAAGAAAAGCAGGGTGTGGTGAGCATCGTGAACGGACTAGGTATCATCAATGGACCTGCAAGTGACTGAGGGAAAGGAGGAGGTATATATATGGGTTGTAGAATGGGAGATGATGAGCAACAGACGCAAACAATTATCGATGATTGTGTACTGGGGTAAAGCTGGGGCGTTTTGGACTAACTGGAGGCTTTTTAGGGACTTACTAGGACATCTTGATTAGTAAAGACTTACAGTAGTCCAGCCTGGAAGTAACAAATGCATGGACCAGCTGGAAAAACGTAGAAAAAAAAATCAACTGGACTTGGTTTTAGGGTGAAGATGTATCACCTCTCATCCAAGAAGCTTCATCAGTTCTGCCCGACTGGCATTGAGCCAGAGATATTTATCCCCATTTGGTGGTGTTTCACCCTTTTGATGGCCAACAATGGCCCAAGATTTTTCAGCTTACTTTGACCTGGATGACTGAGAGTCTACACGGACAAATGCATGGAGCAGACGGAGAATGCTGCTCATTTTTGCGATATTGCACAGGTGAAAGAAAGCAGTTCAAGAGACTTGGTTTATGTGTGAGTTAAAGGACAATAATGGTTAGTAACAGCAAAAAAAAACAAACAACAAAAAGCCCTAGAATTGTTCTATTTACCATTAACAAACAAAAAGTGAAAAATTCTGCGTTGGCCGGGAATCGAACCCGGGTCAACTGCTTGGAAGGCAGCTATGCTAACCACTATACCACCAACGCTACATAGAAATATTTCCTTAATCGTTAAATAAAACAAGTAGAGAAAGACCCTAATAAGGTACAGACTATGCAAAATCAGATGATGTCCAGGATTTGTTAGTAATGATGACATTGTGTGCTGCAAATAAGACTCTGTTTTTTAGCGTTCACCACCAGACCATGATTACCTTTCACAAACCTTATAAAAAGTAGTCATTTGTTTGGAAGGCAGCTATGCTGACCACTATACCACCAATGCCTGATGAAGAAAGTTTGCATAATCCACTAAATCTATCAACTTCAGGCTGCAGCTGTTATTGTTTTTAGTACACAAAATCACTCAACATACCAGACCTCTTACTGCCCACCAAATCTGATGATATCCAGGGTCAGAAACGATTAAAAGCTGTCCTGAAAACTAACGGTTTAATTCGGGTTTCCGTAGTGTAGTGGTTATCACGTTCGCCTAACACGCGAAAGGTCCCCGGTTCGAAACCGGGCGGAAACAGTTTGCTTTTAAACACTATGACAAATGTTTTTGGCAATCACACATGGTATGGAGGACGAAAAATGTCAAGGTCAGCACAGTCCTTAATGTCTATTGTGGCTTCTTCTGGGGATCCACCACAAAGCACATGCAGGATTGTTGCGCTCAATCCACCCAGGCATGGCCCATTGTGTAAAAATGAATGACCAATAATTCGGCCAGCAACAACAAATAAGTCACTCTCCAAAAGGTAATGGGAGGTGGAGGGAATCAGATGATCTTTTTCACTCTCAAAAAGAAGAGTTCCCCCTGGGACTTAAAAGAAATTCAAACAGATATCATATACATAGTAGTATAATGCACATAAATATATGTCATACAGCATTAGTAATGGACATTCTTGATCAGCTGACTACATCCTGCAAAAATCTACAGGTTAGAAATGGGTAAATTAACATTTAGGTATAATGTTCAGGGTTAGTGCACAAGTCAGGGAAAACTGATTGGTTTTCAGCCTGGAAACCAAACACAAAACCTGATGGCAAATGACAAAGCACTGTCAAACAGGTGACTGGTATCTTTACCAACTCAAATAAATAGCCATCACTTCAGTTAACCCATATCTAATAGGAGTGCATCATAAAACATAACTAAAACAAACTGACAGAGTAAAAAGTATCAATTTTACCTACCAAAATTGATCTCAAAACCACAATGAAGTTTGGACATTATGGTTGCAAAGAAATGTTGAGTCACACCATGACCAATGGCTGGATTTCCTACACAGTGCAGACAACAGTAAGCAGAAAACATTGTTAGACATTATTTTATCTTCAGTTTTATTAAGTGTGTAGCCAGTTTACCTTTAAGTGTGCATGTCAAGGCTCTGGCCCACTCAACATTTGCCATCTTGTAAAAAGAAAGGATTGCTTTCTCTCAGTCCTCTTCACTGTCTCCAAGATCCATGGTCAGACTTAATGGTTTTCCAAGGTTGATTTAAGATGTCTTCTATGAATATCTTTGCTGCCTCTATTGGATTTGGTGCAATTTTCCAATCTAAAAATATTTTTAAAATAATCAATTTGTATTACATCAATTGCAAGTTACAGAAAAAACACCTGAAATGTTCAAGTTGTGTAACAGACCAGCGAAGCCTCTCTCCTCAGTGGGGTCAAGATCAATGATTTGAGGAGTAGGCAGGTATCCCTGAGGTGGCGACATTTCCCTGAGGTGGCACTGGGACTGACACATTTCCCTGAGGTGGCACTGGGACTGACACATTTCCCTGAGGTGGCACTGAGTAGTTTGTATTGCTGACCCTTGCTCTCTCACTCTCCTGTGGTGTTGTCAACATGCTCACAAGTCTACCTTCACTTTGGGACGTGCTGGCACTTTCTGTGGCTACCTCAGTCTGTACCTCACTACTCTATCATCTT